TTGTTTTATTTATGTGGTGGATTTTGTTGACTGTTTTTCTAATGTTGAACTATCTTGCATACTGGTATGAATCACACTTGGTCATGATGTGCTATTTTTCCTATATATGTTGGATAATTCTTCCTCAGTACTTCTCTTCTTTCAGTGTTTTATATATGTCATCCCATTGTTTTCTTGCCTGCATAGTTTCCACTGAGAAATTGTAGCTCAGTCTTATTGGTTCTCCTTTGTAGGTGACTTTTTGTTTCTCTGAGCTGCTTTCAGGATTCTTTCTTTGTGTTTGTAAAGTTTGACTATGATATATTTTGGTGATTTTCTTGAGGCCTATCATTTTGGGGGTTCACTGAGCTTCTTGAATGCATATTTTCTCATCTTTCATGACATTAAGGAAGTTTTCTTCCAACAAATCTTTGACAATTTTCTCATTATTTTTCCCCTGTCTTTTCTTGTTCTAGAATTCCTATCACACATAAATTATTCCTATTGATGGTGTCCCAAATGAATCTGAAATTTGTTGCCAGTCTTTTCTTTCTGGTTGTTCTTCCAATAGATTGGTGCTGAAATATGTCTTCACTCACAAATTCTGTGTTCCACTGATTCAGTTCTACTCATTTGTCCTTCCAATGTGTTATCCATTTCTGAAATTTTATTATTAATCTTCTGGATTCATATTTTCTGTTTTCTAATTTTTTTTTCTTTTTATTGTCAATTTGTTCTTGTATTGAATTATTTTGAATTCTTTATCAGGTAATTGCATTAGCATTTCTTCCTTTTGACTATTTTCTGGCCTTGTATTTTGGTCACTTGTTTAAGTCATCTTGTCCTGTTTTATGTGTGATTTCAAGTAGTCTTTTGTCTCTGAAACATTGTAGTGTAATTGTATTAATTTAGTTTCTTCTCCATGATTTTTTTGTCTTATTTTAATATATCTGGGCAACAAAGCATTCATGCTACTCTGGTCACAAGTTTGCCAGCACTGGGGTACTCACCACTTGTATCTGGCTATATTTCTTAGCAGGTGGATTGCAGGTACATGTCTCTAATCAGTGGTCATTCAGAGCACCTGAGAGTAGACTGGGCAGGTGTTGGCGACTGTCCATTATTGGTATAACAGTGTTAGAGCTGGTGGTGTCACTCACTCAGTAGGTGGGGTAGCAGGTGTGGGTGGTATGTTTGGGCATCACTGGCTCCCAACTTGTAGAGAAAGATAGAAAGAAAGAAAAAGGGGGGGGGCACTGGTGGATGAGGGGAGAGGAGAATAAAAGAAAGAAAAAAGTAGGAAAAGAAATGAATTTTTTAAAAAAAAAGGAAAGGGGAAGAAGGGAGACCAAATAAGAGGAAAAAGAAGAGAAAAAGGAATAAAAAACAAACAAATAAATGTGCCACAGTACTAGCAAAATTGATGGCCATCAAACATGACTGTGGTGGAAATGAGGCACTCGCTTTGTGGGGAATATGAATTGGTGATAATGCACCATGCACCACCAAATATGGAGAGTTGAGGATGACACTAATGAATACAGAGATGATGGGGGCAAGGTGTTCACTCAGCCAGATCAGGAAAAAAAAAAAAGGAAGAAGAAAAGGATTTTTTTTTTTTTTTTATGGTGGGGGGAAGCAGAAAGAAAAAAAAAGGGAAAAAAAAAAAAAGAAAAAAAAAAAAAAAAAAAAGGACAAGGATTGAGGGAAGGAAGGAAGGACTGAAAAGCAACCAAAGGGGAAAAAATGATGCAAAGTACAGTTTCTGAATAGGAACACAGCACTCATTCTGCCAAAGCACACACTTTTGATCAGGGAGGGGCAGGTACAGGTGCTGCTAACTGTGTGGGTATCAGGAGAGGAGCTCCCACTCTTTTTGCAAGGTAAGAGAGCAGGGCACACCTTTCTGGTCACCTGATCATCAATGTGTGTGCTGCTACAGTCCTGGGCAAGTGGAGCTGGTTATCTGGTTCCTGCTCCAAAGGGAACACTGCCTGCAATAATTCAAAATGGCCACACTATGCCCATTAGCAGTTTACCACTCCTTGTTCACTGTTTTCGTTCAATCTCTTCTCTCATCACTATTTGATCATTTCTTTATCCTTTCCTTTGAATCTCTGGGATCCAAGATTGTCATCCATAGCTGTTTTCATTATTTTTTTGAGTCTTTATTGTAGAGGGTCTGGAGAGTATATTTGTCTATTCCACAGTCTTGGACCCTCCAGCCTTCAGTGCCTATTTAGAGCAGGCACTGGGCTAGGTGATGGAAAATAAAGAGGGAAAAAAAATAATTCATACTGTCACTAAACTTGGAGCTAAATGAGGGCAGATTTAGTAAATCCCACTCAGGCATGTGGAAATGCAAACTGAAATAAGAATTTTTAAATAAAGGGATAAAATTCTAAGGCCATTTAACAAAGGATATCTACCTAGATCTATCATGCTGGAAAGGCCTAACTGACACCTTAAGGTGAAGTAAGTATTAATTAGTTAAAGAGTATGAATAATAAGGGTATGAGAAGAACATTTCTATTGGAAAAATCAAATGTAAGAGGTAATGTATTCCAGGCAGCTGAAATATAAGATGCAAAGAATGTTCAGGAAATAAAAAGGTCATTAAATGAAAAGCATAGTGTGATGGGAAAGCAAAAAACTAAAAATAAAGATGGATAATGTAGCCAGATAAGGAAGGAAAAGTAGGTAGGCATGGGGCAGATAGTGCAAAGTCTTGCAAACCAAGTTTAATATTTTGGTTTAGGATTTTATCATGAGACTAATGGGAAATAGAATATGAATTGGTGATAATATAATCAGATTTATGTTTCTGAAAGGTTCTATCTGTAATATCAAAAACAGGGGGCAGAGTACTCAGAAAGGATCATATACTCCAGGTTAGGAGACCGGTACTTGATGGAAACTTGGATAAGGGAAGTATAATGCTCCCTGTCCTCTACTGAGTATTAAATGCTGGAATTCTTTAATGATCACATAGAACAGACTGAATCTTCAATGAAGACTGAGAAGTAGAAATTTTAACAGGTTGGAAGAAAACCATAGTAAGTGTGGTGTCAAGAGAATTCAAATGATGGATACAAGGGTGTCAGGAAGGAGGATATGGTCATTAGCTCTAAATTTTGCTGAGATTGCAAATAAGATAAAGACTGAACATGATCTTGCATTTCTTAACACAAGAAGTAAGTAGTGATCTTATAAAGATGGATTTAGTGGAGTTAATGGCCTGGAATCATCTTAGAATGTAATGAAGAGCTGGTGGTACATGAGAAAATAGAAACTGTTCCTATAGAGCGTTCTTTTAAAAAGTTTAGGTGTAGGTGGACAGGGACAGATTACTGAGTGAATATGGAATTAAGGAATAAATTTTTTCAAGTGTAGGGGATGTGAACATGTTCAAGAGTCAAATAAATGAATATTATTGAGAGAGAGCAGTTGTATAAACAGGAGAGAAAACGAGAGGAGGAATAGAAACTTGAACAGAGTGAACAAAGTTTAAAATAGTCATTTCAGCAAGTAGGAGTATGCTTTGACCACAAAATATAGTAGGATAGCACAGAAGGCCCATGATGACCATGAATTTGCAATGCTTACAATCTGTCTGCCACATGACTCTTCAGCAGCACCTCATACATCCTGGTGGAGGAATGGAGAGACTGAGGATGTATGTGGTTCATCTAAGGATGGTATGGGGCACAAGAAAGGCAAACGGTTTGCTGGATAGGAAAGACAAGATCTAGGTTTTGTGCAGTCTGAGGTTACACAATGTTGGAAGTGTTTTTGTTTGTTTGTTTGTTTGTTTGTTAAGAAAACAATATGTAATTGTGAATAGAAATTAATGACAGAATCTTGGAAGAGTCCCATGCAAGGGAAGGACTATAAAATTTAAGCTTCATTATTTTATAGTATATCTTCCTCTCTGGACAAGACCCTTGCTTAAATAATAAGCCATGAGACATTTTTCACTTAAAAATTCTGCAGTACATTTCAAAAGAGAAATGGCTTCAGTTTATCTTGCCTAAATTTTAATTTTCTAATAATGCTACCTTCCCAGCTTTAGTACCATCAGTAGCATATTGCTGTATTCATTAACACTAACCACCTTTCAACATGTGCATCTTAATACACTTTGTATACAAATGAGTTTATGAGATATTCTAATATAATCTCAAAGGTAGAGTATTTTGTGTTCATTGTGTATCAATTAATAAACAAGAACACACATACCCACCACCATGGAGTCAATTTCATCTCATAGTGACAGAAAAGAATTGCCTCTATATGGTTTCTAAGGCTGTAAATCTTTACAGAGGCAGACTGCCTCATCTTTCTCCCACAGAGCAGCAGAGTAGTGAGTTTTGGTTAGCAGCTGAATGTCTTAACCAATGTGCCATCAGAGCTCCAAACAAGAACAGGAAATATAAAATAGAATTTCTATAAGCAGGTTCTTAGCAACTGTAATCTGTTGTTATCATTTTTTTTTTGGAAAAATAGAACCGTGAAACACAGTAGTACTATCCACAGGATATCAAAGGAACAAAAACACTGAAGTAGAGTATATTTTGATATAACTGTGGAAGTATGCAGGAGAAAAGTAAGGTTACATTGCCTAATCAACGAAAGTAGAATTTAACTTTGTGTACACAAACTGTTCCAACAGTCTGGTGGGAAGTGGAAAGGCTACTCACTAGGTTCTATCCACATTAAAAAATGAAACACAAAACAAACCAAAAAACTTATGTTTTCATGTTTTTTACATTTGAGACCCCAAATGGTAAGGCTCATTTGTTATTTAACTCAGGGCAGTGATAACCAATAAAGAGTCCTTTAAAATGAAACTACTAAGTTCTCAAATATGTCTTCAGGGATAGTCTGCAATAGCATGATTCACCTCAGTCTTTATTGAGTTGCTGCAATAAATGGTCAGGAAACTAGCCCATATTATAAAATAATAACAATAACATACATCATTTTATCATGAACAAGAAAAGAACAGAGATGCATCTTACTTCTGTCACTTTTTGCGGTGTGATATTTCCTTCATAGGGACAGCCCAGGGCACAAGAAACATACCTAAATTTAAAATATAGAGGCATATAAATATGGACCTAATGTATAGGTAATTTCTTAATTTACATTTTTAAATGAAGAAATAGCCTAAAGACTATCAAGAAAATTTACTTTACACTATTTGCTCATTATTATGTCATCTTCAGACAAGCACAAAAAAATTTCAATTGAACTAATATTTTTCTGTAATAATTACAATTTGTTATTTGTTATTTGGTGGAGGATAGGGGTAAAATAATAGATGTTTAAATTGTGAGTTTGTTTATACTATATCCACTGTAGTCAATTCAGACTCATAATAACCCCATTACTAACCTAACATTACTTTGTCCTAATCCCATAGAACAGAGTAGAACTGCCCTATAGTGTTTCCAAGGCTGTAATCTTTACAGAAGTGACTACTGCATCTTTCTCCCCTGGAGCAGCTGGTGGATCTAATTACTGATATCCCAGTTAGCAACTGAGCACTTTAACTATTGTCTCAAGGAGGCTACGTCATTTATACTATGTTGTTGTTGTTGTTGTTATGTGCCGTCGAGTCGGCCCCGACTCATAGCGACTCCTCCTTGGGTTTCCAAGGCAGTATCACTACAGAAGTAGGATTGCCTAACCTTCCTTCTGAGGAGTGGCTGGTGGGTTTGAACCGCCAGCCTTCTGGTTAGCAGTCAAGTGCTTTAGCCACTATGATACTATAGCAACACATTAACATTTAAAATGGAAAATACCAGTGAAATGTAAGTTTATTTAACTAATTACATACATCCAACAGTTAAGTATCCACTTCTTTGGAGTCATATAGACAGGATATGTAGGTGGCTAACTGAATTTCTCTCTTTACTCCCATCTGGATATTTTGGCCTTACTTAGATGCAGTCATTAATCACCCAAAAACTCCTAGAACTGGCCACAGCCTCAGAGTTCATCTTCTTTATCTCTCCTGAGTATATCTAAATCATTCCAAACAGAAAAGTGTCTAGTCTATATTTAAAGGGCTCCAAATAAAGATATTCATTCTATAGACTTCTTCAGCAATTCACTCTAATGTAAAAAGTCAAACCTTTTCAGCAAAAACAATGATCCATTGCCATCTTAAATTATTAAGCTTTAAGAAAAGCCTGTTTTAGCCATTTTCAGATCAACACCAATCCAATTTTATTATACTTTCCTCAGAGATTTCACAATCCTTGTATTAAAATAATGCATCATGTCTCTGACGTTGTCAGAAATGAGGCAATCCACATGAAGGAGCCAAGAGTGGTGAGGAATGAGGCCAGAGTCCAGTTATTTGGGCCAGACTGTAAAAGACTTTAGATATGAAGGCCCTTGAATGCCATGCCAAAGAGTTTGGACTTTGAGACCACATTTAATTTGGGGGGACTCAAAATTATTAGATAAGGTAATGACAAGAACAGATCTGTCTTCCAGAAATATAACTCTGAACTCTGGAAGTGGTTGCCAGAGGAAAAGACAAAGACAAAAGTATGAGGGAAGGTAATCCATATTTCCTCAATGCTAAGATGCTATCGATTTGGAAACACACTATAAACTTCATAGCAGGTTTTAGGGTAAAACTTAAATAAATATTCAATGATTCTACATAGTCATTGTTTCTAAGATGTAACCTAATTTCAGAAATATTAAATGTGAATAAAAATTGTATTTGGGATTAAAATGAGTAATTCTATAAATCATATGAGTAGTTATGAGGACTATGAGGTAGGGAAGGAGAAAAGAGAAGAAATTTAAGGAACATTTGACAGTATGCTAGAGAGAAAACCCATATCTCTTGCTCTTCCCATTACTATGATTTAAGTTTATTTTGTGATTTAAATTCAATGGCGGCACTTGCCTTTAAGATAATCTGTCCAAATTTAATCCAGAGATGTGAGAAAGAAATTTCTTGTACTAAGACATTTGTGTCAGAATGTAAAAGGAAAATTTTCAATACAGATAAAATAGAGCATATTTGTCATTAACCCAAAGCATCTGATGAAAGTAAATAGAAAATCCGAATCATCCACTCACATTTCCCCTCTTAATGTGGAAAACAAAAACCAACCAAAACATACAAAGAAACCTCCTTTTCGTATTCTCAATGTCTTATTTGGTGAGTGCTAACCGCTATTGTTATAAGGCCTATTCTCTATGCTTGCATTTTCATTTAATTGAGTTTACCATCTGGTGATCTGTGGCCTTCCAGATCTTTAAGTTGTTTTGCATTTTATCTTCATATTTTCTTCTACAGGCTTGTGACTGGCCACCTGTTTGGACTAGTCACACAAGGAGCTACTTTCTCTAAACTAGTGTGATGGTTCTTAAGTATGTTTCCTTAACTATATTTTAAGATTGTAAAGGGTAAATTGGCAAGCTAAGACTCATAGATCAAATCCAGCCCATCATCATCTTTTGTAAATAAGTTTTATTGGAACACAGTCATGCCCATTTGCTTTCATATTGTCTATGGCTGCTTTAGCACCATAACAACAGAGTTCAGTAGTGTGACAGAGATCATCTGGCCTGTAAAACCTAAAATATTTACTATCTCGTTCTTTATAGAAATTTGCTGACTTCTGCTCTAAAGTGAAAATCTTTTTTGGGAGCATGAATAGGCCTCCATGGTCATCATAAAGTGCTCCACGCTCTGTTTTGACACGTGGCTAAAGTTTCTGAATTGCCATTCTCTAACAATCTATTTTAGTGATTCTCAACCTTGGCTACACATTATCACCTGGGAAGCTTGAAAAAATGAAAAAAAAAAAAAAATCCAGATGGTTAGGACACACCATAGATCAATTAAATCAGAAGCTATGGAATTAAACAATCAATATATGTTTTTAAATTTTAAAGTTCCACTATGATGTCAACACAACAACAACAACATGATGTCAAGGTTGAAAACCATTCAACTATTAGTAACACTGAGTTATTTGGATTATTATCCTACCTGTGTAAAAAGTGACATTACACAGGCCTGATAATATCTACGGAGTTTTGGTGGCATAGTACCTAATGCATTTGAGTGCTAACAGAAGGCTGGAGGTTCAAACCCACCAGCCACTCCTCGGAAGGAAGATTGGGCAATCTACTTCTGTAGAGATACAGCATCTGAAACCCACGGAAGGGTCGCTATCAGTTGAATCGACTTGGCGGCAATGAGTTTGTTATAATATCTAACCTCAGGAATCTACCTGCTATTCAATATTTTTTTCATCTTAGATTGTCTGGTTGTTAAATTTCTCACAGACTTGTTCTAAATTATTTTTATCATGTTTTATTGTCTAGCTCCAGTCTCTCCACTTATGCTTGCATCCCACTCACTGCTTACTTCTAGTTCAAAGTCCTTTTTACTTTTTTTTTTTAAAAAAAGCTTGTTTTACATTCGTTACTTGTACATTTAGTGTCACTCCCCATTTACCGTGTCCATCCCTAACTCAGTCTCCTCCCCTCCCTACCCTGTAACCCTCCCCCTGTGCCCATCATATTTATGCACTCCTGTTTGTCCTGCATTTTCTCAACCTGAATGTTGGTCCTCTGGTGCCCAATGGTCCATTTCTCTAAGAGAAGTTATCACCACAAAGTATGTGGATGCGTCATCCTGGGTTGAGTGGTCTGCATGTACATCTTGTTAACTATTGGGCTGTGAGCCAGGCCCTGTGGGTGAGTTTTATTCCAGGTGCAGAATGTAATCCAGGGCCATAGCATTGGGGGTCTTGTCAGACTTCCTCTGACCAGTAATTCTGGTCAACATTAAGTTTTCGGATTTTGTTACACATTTTTCCTCCCACTCTATCCAGGATCTCCAGATTTGATCCTTTCCTGAGTGGTTGGCATTGGTAGCCAGGCACCATCTAGTTCTTCTGATCTCGAGGGCCATTGTGTCCTATGGCTGATTGCTTCCAATGCTAGGAGACCATTAGCTGCACTCAGATGGCAGCTTGAAAGCTTTGAAGACCCCCTTTGCTCCTCACCAATGTAAGATGTGGAACAAGGCTTTTATATATTTTGCTGTGGCATTTGAGTCTGGTGTCCCCCAGTACTATGGTCCTGAGCCGGTAGATCTATTGGGTCTCTCTCCCATAATGTCTGGGTGTCTGTGATGGATGACTCTGTGTCTGTCTTCTATTGTTTCTGTAAGGATTGCAGGTATTTTGTATCACTGGTGTCTGTGCAAGTTTAGCCTCAGCTGACTCTATCCTTGGTCTAGAGTATACTCCTGTTCACTGACCCCCATCTGATCTTCTCATGTGTTTATGTGTTTATCTGTAGCCTGCTGTTTGGTGTTAATGGTAATGCAGTACTGTGGACACAATGGTTGGTATTAGCATCTGTTGTCTATCTCTTATGTGCACTATTTGGTGTCCTCCCATTTCCTAATGTTATCCTGGAGGTCACAGTTCCTTTCTGTATACCCCTCCCCTTACCCACATCAGTGTGTGGGCCCCCAAAATTAATCCCTCCCCTTCCCGGTAACCTACAAAGTGAGTTCCCTTTCCCAAGCAAACCCTTCTCTGCCTTTTTACAGTAAGGGCTCATACAGTACTTGTCTTTCTGCAATTGTCTTATTTCACTCAGCACAAAGTCCTCCAGGCTCATCCATGTTGTGAGATGATGTGCATATGCTTCATCGTTCTTTAATGTAGCATAGTATTCCATTGTGCTCATGTACCATAATTTGGTTATCCACTCATCTTTTGATGGACATTTAGGTTGTTTCCTTCTCTTTGCTATAGTGAATTGTGCTTCAATGAACATAGGTGTACATATGTCTGTTCATGTCCTGTTTCTCACCTCTTTAGGATATATTCCTAGTAATGGAATTGCTGGGTCAAATGGTACTTCTATTTTCAGTTTTTTAAGGAAACACCACACCGTTTGCCACAATGGCTGTACCATTTCACAATCCCACCAGCAGTACACAAGAGTTCTAATCTCTCCGTAACCTCACCAGCATTTGTTATTTTCTCACCTGTTGAACTTTGCTATTACTGCTGGGGTGAGATGGT